TGTACCTAGTGCACGATCCCCCCCCCTGCGAAATGTGTCAAATGCAAGAGCTTCATAAAATTTGCATTTTTCTCACCACTTGCACACTGTAGCTAGCCTTCACCAAGGTCGTCTACTCATTCCCTGAGCAAGCAATCTACATGTACACTGGGGTGCCATGTCCAATAAACATTTCATGGACAAATGATTTCAAGACAATTTTCTCCACACTAACTACATGTACGAAGACAATAATACACATACATGTGTATACATGTACATGTAAATGTACATGTACATCTGTTGATGCCTGCCGACTGGACATAAATCACTAAACAGCTCTGTAATACATGTAACTTAACTGTTGCAGCACTTACATGTGTACATGTACGGGGTACCGGTATTATACATGTAAGTCTATCACAGCACTTAATGTGATGAGTTCATACCGGCAGTAACTGAAAGATCTCACCTTCTTTTGTTTACAGCACTCATGTTGCTCAGCTTATCACTATACATGTATGAAGACTTGAAAAGGAGAAACACTGAACCACTCTACCAGCAAACAATGCTAGTCGAGTAACTTTGAACAACTTTGAGTCGAGTAACTTTGAACAATGATGCCTGTCTACATGTACCAAACTGATGATGCCAGAGCTGGACACATGAAGTACATGTATTTTATCTGCATCAGCCGTTATATTTATGGTACATGTACATGAACATGTAAGCCAGCATTCAATACTATGAAAAGTTTGATATTCCTGGACTGATACTCTTTGGCTCATTAATTTTCATGGGTACCAAAATGACTAAGATGCGCGTGCAGTTTTAACGTCTAACCTGGATCAGTTTCAGGACATTTTATGGCGCTGCATAATGTAAAAAGTGTCAGACGTGAATGACTACATGCATTAACGTCGACCTAGCTTTGATCCATATGTACATGTACTGGTACTTGAAGCTACTTCATGCAGATTCTCTCAAAGCTGTGTTCTCGGCAAAGTCCATTCCGGATTGACCCGTGTAAAACTGCAGCTCAGCGGCTTCATCACTGGATGAGGTTTTGAATACAATAGGGGAGGAAGACAGCACAACAGACCAGTGCACCTGACATGAATTACCATGTCGGTAATCATAGCCATAATTACATTATCATAAGCAACGAACTACATGTATCCAACAGCTAAAATTGTTTTTACGCTTTTTATAATGCCCCCATATGCTTTTATGGCTACACTGGGTATCTAGACAAACACACTGTATTATATGTTCACAACAATTCACAACGTGTGCAATGTACTGGTACCGTCTAATCATTCACAGCACAATGGTACATGTAGGTATGTTGCGATTTTTCTGGATTTTTCAAATACGTAAGAAATAAAGAAGACGCTTGCATGTATCGGTAGGCCATGAAAAATAAATACCAGTATTATATGAAATAAAATTTGAATTATTTTTCCCCCCCCAAAAAATTATCTACTTACAATGTACACGTAGGCCTACACTAAGTTACTGACTAAGTGATGTCATCAGACAAACAGCTGCACGCTGTATGGAACATGTACACGCAGTTATGATTTCTACACATATAATCATTCTGTCTGGTTATCATTACATACCAGTAACTATTACTGTACATGTACTGTACAAGTTTCCAACATGAAGTTTGAAGTACTGTTTGATTTACGATCAATTTCTGATCACGGACACTACAGGAACAGACAAGGAAAGGCAGTGCATTGAGCGCAGGTACATGTAACCCTTTAACCTACATGTATTTCCAATGACCCTTTCTGATCTGCATAACAATACGAACTACGTATACATGTATGTTTGTATGTATGTACATGTACGTATATGTACATGTATGTACATGTGAGTTCATTTGTTTGAACGGTAATAAAAATCACCGCTTCTTGACTCGGTCTACAATTCCATGGTCAATACTGGCAAGCGTACTTTTCTTGGTCATCAACATTGTAGCGGTACATCCTGTCAACAGTACGCATACATGTACAGTATGTCACGCTATAGGGACCCTTTGCACTAACGAGCATAACAAAGGAAAGCTCTCATCAAAATTAGTCTCAGCAGAGCAACAGAGATGAACCTGACATGTCCCTATGAAGATGAGCTTGGTTGTGGAGTAGCCCTTGAGCTGCTTGAGTGCATGTACATGTAATTTTTTGTCATGCATAGCTTTTGGAGAGTTTGATTTTTTTTCCCTCCTAGTCAGGCAAGTGTGATTAAGTCCACTTGGCCACATTCCAGTTATTTCAAAACTGGGCAACAGAAAGTGGATGAACCGGCTCACGATGCTACACTCTTGTACGTTGTACTTGTGAAAAAAATTATGAGAGTCAACTCTATCACTTTAGTTTTGAAATTGACTATTGTAAACAAGGTTTGCTTTCCAATTTGATTTCTGTTTCTGTTTTGTGGCAGGAAATGAATCACTAAGTCATGAAGGATTTGGCCATTCTGTCCATTTAAATGTGCATGTACCACAAGTAGGGTTAGAATTAGTTCACACAATACAAAATACATGTTGAGTACTGAAATACTGTATATGTACATGTATGTGTGCTTGTACTTGGTGTTACTCAAAACACAAACATGACAAACATTTTTGTACGCTCCATGGTTGTAATATGCAGAAATGGCTAGGTCATGACCGAGAAAAACAATGGTTGTGTTGACACCCTCAGGCCTTGCAGTCAAGTTAATTGCCTAAAACAGACGCAGAAATGGGTTGTTGTCTGGATGGGTGCAACTACTGTAGCTGGTGCATGACCCAGACTCACTATGGACTCGGCCAGTCAAATCCTTCCTCCATGAATAAACACATGCAGGCAGTTAGACACAAACAGATTGATTGACACCACACCAGACTAGAAGAAATCAGAAACAGGGAAATCCAACTGATTAGCACCAATTAGGTGAAATGAGGTGTTGGGTTTCCTTGGACAAAAGGAAAGGGTGCTAATTTAGCCGACAACAGTGGGAGAGGATTATTGTGAATGGCTGGGAGAGGTGGAGACTTCCTGTTGGTTGATTTTGTCCTGATGTGACCCTTACACTGATGGGTACACTTCCATGGTGGATGCACATGTTCCAAGGGGATGAGGTGTTAAGAACTTAGGTGTTAAGTTCTCTAAGAAGAGAATTCATCATTTTTTTAATGTTAATTATCAACAACTTTAATAAGTAATTATCATTAAATAATTGACAATGGTCAGATCACCTGGTCAGATCACCTGTTCCCTTTTCCATGGTTGGGCAAAAGGGGGAGAAGTGGTTGGCATTCCAGGTCCCCCCCTCCCATAATCAACACTTGCCTTGTCCTCCTTCTGAAGTCTAATAAGTTGCATGGTGACTGTTGCTCATTCATTGATTGCCAGTGAGTGTGCTAATTGGTGAATTAAGAAGGAAGTGGTATTGGCTTATTTCCATTATCTTAAGTAGGAAGGGGGGATAAACTTCTAGTACAGTACAAGGGAAGAAATCACGAAGAACTGTAATGAGTGCAATTTTAAAACACTGGGTGCCTGTAGTGGAACTCTTTACATGTATACATGTGCAGTGTACATTGAATGGACTATTTACAGAGGCCAATAAGCAACAATGTTTATTCAAATTTACAAAAAGTTTGTATAGGCTTTTTCAAGCTCTTCTGACAGTACACATAAGTGAACACCTTCAAAAGAAACTTGTGCCATTTGTACTCAATATCTCAATTACTTTTAAAACCTTTTTAGAATGTCTTCCATGTACTTTATGTTTCACTGGCTGCATAGGTAAATCCTTTTATCTTGAAAAGTCTCCCTATTCTCAGAGAATTAGCAACTGAGGATTACATACTGGTATAGTGGTTTGAAAATGTCTTTAAACTGTGAACAAAACATACCATTTCCAGATTTATTACATGTAAGTTCTTTCTAAAGGAGACAGAAACTGTTATTGCTGCGTTCAGGTTCCAAGATCTGGGTGTTATTATTTTCAACAAACTCCATCTCACCGTGTATTTTTGTTGAAAGTATATGTGCAGTAAGTCCATTGTGCTGGGGAAAACTGTCTGTAGGAAAGTGGTTTTGAGTCGCATTTTGAATATTGTTGATGTTTATAAACTTTAAAACTGAGGTGGCTGGTTACTGAACTCTTTGCATCCTTGAATTTTCCATGTGGCATTAACAGAAAAACCATGAATAACAAACATATCTCATGCATCATGTCATGCACGTCGTTTTGGTAAAACCAAAGAATCAGACAACCATGATACTGTAACTGGTGAAAAATGTAAGACACACTTTGCCTGTGCCTGCTCCATTCAAAGCTGCAGGCCGAAAAATTCTATGGGCGAACATGGTCCTCCAAGAAACACGCATGAGTAGCCTATACGTGGTCTAGGCACAAGACTTGTTGATCGTGATGGTTGGGAGTGCTACCCACGACTGTTTCCTGGTCAATACATCTTGTGCCCCTATTACATATGGGCCGCTCCAGCGGTTTCATTAAAGGACCATGTTTACTCATAAAGTTATTGCGATCGCAAAATCTTGGCCCACATATTTGAATGGAGCAGGCGGTGAAAAGTTCAAGTGTTGTGCATGTGTCGAGCGAAAACGGTCGGATTTTGACAGATTTTGAGGTCAGAAATATCACTAAAGCCCCAAAAGTTTTCCTCTGGCATTTAAGAAAGCCAGTAGGTTGTGAAAAAGGTGTTTTTGGTGAGTCTTTGGAATTTTTTAGGACCATTTTCACCTTACTAAAATACAAGGCTATGTAGGCCTACCATGCCTACAGGCCTGGAGTGTTAGTATGATGATCCCATCCAAAATCGAAAAAGAGGAATATCAGTAGAGCTAGATACATGCATACTGAACTATTGAATGCAAGAGACATGCATGCTGAACTGCTGAATGCAAGAGACATGCATGCTGAACTGCTGAATACAAGAGTTAAAGCCAGCCTGTGGAAATTTATCTATTGTGAACAAACAAATAAAACAAATAAAAAATATTGTCCAAATGCCCTAAGATATTTCAGACAAACAAAATGGAACAAATAACATGTGACGACCAAATTGATGCCTGACGAGAAGCTTCGGCTGTTATTTTGTTGAATTGTGATCTGCGTTGAATTTCCTGGCCTAGCATGTGCCTAGCGCTGCGAATGTGTGACGATACTTTGTTAGTTAACAAAATGGCGGACGATTTACTTCGGTTTCACTGCTTTGGTTTTAAGAATAAGTTATGGCTTGGTTATTGTTTACAGCACCATTCCCTTCAGGTAAGAAGAGCGGTGACATGAACCATCGGGGTACGCACAATTGTTAAAGTGGGGGAGATTTGCCGGTGAATGCTTACCTCCGCAAAGGAAATCCACCTGCACGACCGTAGTTGATATTCCGCAGCTGATAGTCGGCATGATAACATTGCGAGCCACGCAATGTGTAGGAAAGCTGCCTTAGCTTCTTCATAAAATCCTTCATGCTGAAGTTCTCTTCTGTCGTCGCTTATCGCCAGAAGTTGTTTATGTCCTTCAAAAGTTATGTCAAGTGTGGCATTAAACTAATTTCTCCTCGAAATGGTCTCAACATCCAGAACACAGTGGTTTTTATACTGTTTATTGACAGAAGAAAATGTGTCAAACTTGCAAATAGTGAACGAGCTGGCACGGTGACCACTTTTTTACTAGCAGCTAGGGGGTTTAAATGACAGCACCCGGCCGCGCCGGCAAGTGCATTGCGTGACAACCTTATCGCTTGAAGGCGCTGTTGCTCTCAAAATCTGTACCCGTACCGTACCTGTTCATGTACCCCCTGGGACCCCATGGTCCCAGCACCAAGCCTACAGGTGTACACGTACTTGTACAGTACATTGTACATGTATGCTTATGTTTTTTTCTGCGCGAAGTAAAATCGACCTCCGTATGCATTCATATGTACCGAAATCGAATGCAGATGCTTCGTGCTAAGTAATTCCTAAACTCGTTCTCAAGCCTGCGATCGAACGTGCAATTACCTGACGGAACCGAAGTCAATTCCGCGTCCACGTCTTCCAAATTAAAGTACCGACATGACCAAAGTAAACTTTTCAAGAGTAGTTAAAGTTGTCCTCAAATCAGGGCCAGCCATCGTCACAAATCGTTCGTATGAATCGTGTGTCGGTGGCACGTGTCATCAGGCGTGACAACTGTTGCACGAGTGCGTTCGAAAGGGGGTCAGGTCGTCTCGCTGATGAAGGTCATCAGACAGACGGGGACGGCCTCTGGTCCCTTATTTCCCCTGGCCCAGTCCAGATCCAATGCACCAGAGACAGGTGTGTGCTGCCCTAGGTTTTCCTTTTTGATCGAGCACGACACGCGTGTCCTAAATCGGTACTTAAATTGAATGAGCATTCAAAAGCATTGCCAAACACCTATACAAGCAATACGAAACTTGTGCAACCAGATTGTTGAAAAAAGGAAGAATTGTGTTTACATCTGCCTTTGAAAAAATACAAGTTACAACACGTGTTTCGTAGTTCAAATTGCAGTGGGTTTTTGTAAATTATGGGTATTAGCATTCTCAGTGTGTATGCCTACTTTAAATTTAGACCTAATCATACAGCAAGGAAACATCATTATTTTAATTCACATTTCGTAAGAAAGGCAGAACATTCACTAAAAAAGTGCTATGAGCCCTTTACAAAGTATAAACACATGAATGTTTGATTCTTCCAGGATTGAGAGAGGAATCAATTTCCATTCAAGAAATGCATGCGTTTGTGCAATTAATTCTTCTATTTGAAAGCTAACTCTGAGGCTGTTGCTGAAATATTGACAGATAAAGGTCAACACCCGACAGTGTTCATGGAAAGGATATCTTGAATAAGAATCAAGATGAGGAAACGTGCAAGTAACATTCCCGAGCACATTCACGAACACAGCATTTGCAATTGCATTACTAACTGTATAGGGTTCCTAGGACTGTAGCACTCCTGCGACGGATGTTTTTCCAGGAGAAATTTCAGGAGATTCACATGGTGTTTTATAGTCATGCCGGGGGCCACTGGGGGCATTCGGCAAGGACCCCAGCCAAGTACCCACAGAACCGCAAACCGCTTTCGGTGAGGAGCAGTTCACGGTCAGGTCGTCCCTATGCGCACAAATTCCGGCGCTACCGGAAGATGGGGTCCGCACAGCAATCGAATTGCCGCATACGCACGGCAAGCGATTGGTTGGAATTACAAGTATACCACGGAAAGAGGAACCAGGATGAGCCTAGTTTAATAGTCTCCGAGAATTGGTAAACCTTTCCTCTTATCCTTCCGGCTTTCAAGCGTAAAAAAATGCTACTGCGAGCGATAAAACGTGTTATCCTTCATGGCATCAGGAAGTATACCTGTACCTGTATGTCAAACTGGCACATTTCAGGAGTAAAAGCGGTTAATGCTCAGTATAACCTTGCATAACTTCTGCAGTGTCAGGCCTCCAAACTGAAGGTGTTATCTTACATTCTTTTAAAATGATGGAGTTTGGATTTCGGGGAAGGATACCCGCACGGGATGCCACCACGGGGCACATAGCTTAAGAACTGTGAGGTTCGTCGTCCGACGAACCCCACAGCCCTCTGGAGATAGACTTAACTGATTCCGGAAGGAAATCGGAGAATGCATCTTATTGTCAAGGCCGGATACTCAAACAACCCAAATCACCACAACCCCAAAAGTTGAGAGATTCCCCTACACAGTGGAAGTACTCTCCTCCCACTCCAGAAAAAAAAATGGAACAATTTATGAGTTTTATCTGTCTGAAGGACTGTAGACGCTGGGTTAGTAAATCTACCTCAATTTTAACTCACATCTTAGCAAGTCTTTCAGTTTTTAGCTTTCCATCTCTGGGGAGCCTTCATCTATTATTTGTCCATCATTCAAAGCAGTGCCGCACTTGTACAAAAAATACAAATTTACATACACACAATGTGTTGGGGGGGTTATATTGACAAAATAATTTGCTTGTAACATCACTTAACGGGAAAACTAATTCAAAATAGGAACGTTATCGTGAAATGCTTACAAATGAGTAACCAAGGATGTTGCCGTTGTTGCTAGCGGCACTGCTTTTTCAGCGTCAGTCAGTCTTGCTCTTTGCGGCGGGCGAATAGTCACGATTTTGTTTCCTGGTATACATAATTCCCCATTATGTATAGGTTGGAATACGCTATGCAAACACTTGGGGGTAACAATCAATTGGGAAATATTACAGCAGTCAACACTATTAGCATTTGCTTTTACCACCCTACTTTTATGATCAGCCATTTTCCGTTCGTGATTTTCCTTGCTTTAGTGACTCTATATCACTGAGTGTCCGTTTTTCCTGTGAAATTCTCAAGCCGCTGGCAACCCAGCTTTAAGCTTCCACAGCTTCGCGGCTGGATTGCCCGTCTTTCATGTGCTCCTTTAATGGGGTAAAAGGGACGATGAGATCTGTGCACAGTGGCGTAAATCTACGCTGGGAACTGGGGAGGAATTGGGGGTGAATTGCCCGGTCATGGAAAATTGAAAACCATATTATGACAACCGGGGCGTTCGTGATACAGATGTCCATCTCTAATAGTATGTAGCCTATCACCCTCCTGCAGAACTTTACACCCGAACGGCATGTCTACTTCCTTAAAGAAAACTATCCTCCTTTTTGAGTGCTATGGAATACATGTTTGTTGGGAAGTCTGGAAAACTTTTCATAGTCTGCCTTAATCTATTTTTTTCACCACGAAAAACTGAGTTGTGTGTGGAGGAATAATAGCCCTCCCCCTTGTCAAAAAGTGTGGGGATATAACGTACCTCATTATGCCATGACTGTGCAGTCCATTTTATTATTCGAAGAAAGCAGCAATTACATATTAAGGGAATAGTGTCTTAACAGCTGGGCCCAGCTTGCTTGAATGCACCTCAGAAGTCCTTGGTCCAATTTCCTTTTTTCTTTTACCTATTCTGGCTCTACTGTAAACAAACCTTACAATTTGCGTAGCTTGGTTCAAATCCGGAAACAAAGTGTCAATCTCACCTTGGCACTTCAAAGAAATTTTAGTTTTGGTTAACCCTTGCTGTCCTGAAAATTTGTAGTTGTACATTGATTTTGTCAAATACTTTCAGGTTCAATGTTTGATGCTTTTAATTAATACACGGAAGGCCTACCGCCCAAAAATGAGCAGCTTGAATGCAACAACGATCTCCACGTGGCTTTGCATACCAACTGAGGGCGCTGTTGCTAGTTAACGAAATTTTGTCTGGTACCCAGTTCGTGAGTTTGTGAGCATAAAACACGTGGGACCGGGTACACGCGCTTGAAACTGGTTGTCATTTCCGCGATTTCCTGATCATCAAAAAGAAAGTAACCGTTATGGTTACTATTTATTTATCGGATGCGGTGTGATATTGCTCTTATTACATTTCATGTACACTGATGATCCTGATGTCATAAAGTAACTACATAACGGGACCATGGAGTTTTATTATAGTTCAAGATCTGAGATCGTTTTTCCTAATTTTTGTCTCACTGTGTCCAAACTCCAGGCCTGGCAATTACGATTGCTTCTAGCCCAAGTTGGACGTTGTCTTCATTTCATTACGACTGACGTAGTATGGTCAGGGAATCCACCTGGGTTAGATTGCATCATGTGTTTACAAGTGTTGTAGGTCTCGAGACCGGTCTTAGTCCCACAGGTAGGGCTGTATAGGCTCTCTTTTACAACCTGTCTCTTTTCTGTCGCCACTACAGCCCTACGTGTGGGGCTAGATCGGTCTCAAGACCATTTTTTCCTTGTCTTGGACTCGGTACCCAGTGGTCTCAGTCTCCGTCTCGGACTTCCAGGTCTCAGCTACAACACTGGTGTTTACTGTAGGCCAATATTACATGTAAAGCCTAATTTGTGTGACCATATAGTCGCCAGGTCCCTTGTTTTGCCACTTACAGTGAAAACCAATCAGACTTGACGATAGGTGGCGAAATTAGGGATCTGGCGACTATATGATTGTGCACATTACGGGTGAGTAAAACATGGTTCCAGAACATATAGGTGGATCTAAGCTTTTTGTCGAAACTTTTTTTTAACTTTTAAATATCTATCACTTTCCAATCTGGAAAAAAGGAATAATAATTTAAAAAATGGGAAACGCAGTGTAGTACAGCATGAAAATAAAATGCAGAATTCTTGTTGATTTCCCTTGTTGTAGCTGGCCTACATGCATATATGCTTATCTTTCGAGAGTTATATTTCTTGATGATATAGGCTTATTTAAGGTTTATTTCCATAGAAATAATCTCAAGTACTACAGGGTCAACTATTTTGCCTTTTGAATCGAAAAACTGGCCTTTTGTCCAAGTTGATCTGATTGATGCGCTGGGCTCTGGGCACTGATGTACAGGATACAAATACACAGTGCAGTATGCTGGCGTGATGTTATGATTGTACTTAAGCCAATGTTTTTCATGAAAATAACAGAAAATATTACAAATAGTAAGATTTGTAATCATAATTAACAAAGCTGGGGGAATTTTTCCATAGTGTTGAACCGTCAGAAATGTTGGACTTGTGAACGTAAGGAAATTGCTGTTTGAACATTCAAAACAGACATAGGTCTATAGCAAAAATTTAACATTCAAAACAGACATATAGGGACCACAAGAAGTGAAATGCGTATGGGATGTAATTTTATGTATGCTGCTCAGAACAACTGGATGGTTTAATCATGACATCATGGTTATTTACCCCACACATTGTAAGTGTCGTGATGTACAAGTGGAGAAATAAAGCTAATGTCATTTTCTCGGTGAATAAACAAATTAGCACAAAATCAAGTGTTCAAAATTTATATCTCTCCCTGAAGTAGTATTTCTTTTGGTTACAGCCTTGTCATGCATGGCTTGTCGTGTAGTTTTTGATTACAGCCTTGTCATACAAGAGTACACTTGAGTGCTTTGTGGGTTCGTGGAGGAAGGAATGATACAGGAGTTTTTGCCTTATCCCAGTCTGGGTGTCATCCAAATGGAATGGAGTGTGGCCTGCATATCATCTATATTGCATCTAGATAGATTCCGTCCTTGGACTTGCTGGAACCTAGTGTTTCTGGTATCAATTCCAAAGGATGCAGACACAGGGATGCAGTCTGTTTTTAGCCGCAGGTGATTGATGCTTTGTCAAATTGTCTCAGCTATGACTGACCTGCCTGCCTTTAAATTAATCCAGCAGTATGGGCAAAATTATATCCCCCCAAAAATATAAAGTAAAGGAAAAAAGAAGAAATAGCTAATGAAAAGAAATAGTAATAGAAATGAAAAAAGAAATGAAAGGGAATGAAAATCCCCAGTTTTGTTTGAAAATTGCTTGTAATTGACAACCTGCTACTGTTAATCATGTTTCATTTTACTGCGGTTGAGCACCGGCGGCGGAAAGATTTTCAAAGTGGGGGCCAGTGTTTAGACCATCAGGCTTCAGCCATGAATAGGATGATCCATTAAGCCGCACCCCATTATAGACCCTGCATAACGTGGGGGCCATGCCTCCCCCAGCAGAAGAAGTGTGGGGGGGGGGCACTGTCCCCCTGGCCCCCCTTTTCTGTGGCCAGTGCGGATGAGTGCCCCAAGCCCAGAAATGTGCCCCCTTGAAGTGTTTTGCCCCACTCCCCTGGAAAACATCCTGGCATTGTTCATGTCGACACACCTTTTTATAATAGCAATAGTTATTATGAAGACCAAGTCTTCATAGGGATATTCATAAGTGTCCATAGTCTCTAGAAATGTTCCGGCCAGGGCGCATCTGTGTGTACCTCCGAGTATGTGCAACATGGGGAGTAAAATGTCTGTTCACTGACGCGTTTCACTGTGGCAGCAGAAATGCTGGCAGTCTTTGAGCCAAACCGAGCCAGGAATTCATGCATTCCACTAAAATGTCTCATCATTTGTGAGTGAAGCCATGTCCAAAACTAGTATGGATATGGCAGTGGCTGTTCTTCATAGGTGTCAGTGGCTAAGCCTCAGCCTCATCCACAGAATACAGTGAATCTGACACAATGTCAGGATGAGAAACAAGTATCTGGAACTCCTGGAATGGATCAAGTTCCATCAATCTGAACCATTCAATTTATTTTACCATGATTAAGTAAGTTGAAAGTAAAATTTCTTGTCCTGATGTGCACACAAATATAACCGAGAAAAAATAATAAATGAATACAAAATAGGCCTAGTGATACTTGAGATGTTTTTAAAAAATCCCAAAGATCTAAAATTGGATTTTTCTTTCAAGCTGAGTCACTCATTTTTTCACAGTTGTTTACCTTTGTATTGAAATAAAACACTTACTTATGAATAATAATAATATGATTGAAAATACATCGAGATTCTGTCGACACTGGAATGCGCTATATAAATACATCATATAATCCCTGCTCACATAGCCCAGAAACATTCCTTTAGACCAACTCAACTCCGTGGAGAGTATACAACCATTGTTGCAACCCTATCAGGTGCACTTAACCCTAGAGCCTTATTTGTACTTCTGAAAGCTTCTGTATTAGAAATATCAAAACTGAATTTTTACTGCAACTGTACCCAGATTAAGAATTTTTTTCATAGTCACAAAGAAACACAGTGCATTCCTTTTTTGATATATTTGGTGCCTCAAATAAATTTGTTTAAAAGTAAATGAAGCGGAAGGGCATGGAAGGCCATTTGAAAAAAAATACTTTCTCATCAGTATTTTTCTGAAAGGGAGGCAGAGGCCCTGTTTTAAGGTGATGAATGGATTTTCTTAACTTTTCCACTGATACTTTTATGTGTTGTGGAGCTCTTACTCCATTTAGCTGGTGTTGAATGTACTGCATAGCTATTGATCAAAAAAGATCACAACTTGAAAAAAAAAGTAAAATGGGAGTCAGGTGGGAAGAAAAGCAAGTGGATGAATAACTTTTTTTGTGAACTTTACCCATAAATGTAACAAAGCACAGCCTTGATTGAATGGACACACGCACAATTTAACAAACCTTGATCTCATTTGTGCTTACTTGTATGCACAAGATGGTACAAGGTTAAACAGAATACAGAACCAGTGAGTAAGGGTGAGAATTTACGGGTTTTTTGAAAAACGTTCAGAAAACGTTCCTATACCGTTTAAATGTTTAAATGTTCCACCCTTACCACAGTGTCATTGAAAACTTTAAACACAGCAAATTGTATACTGTGTAAATAGTTGACAAAAAGGCCTGGTGATGAAATAATCATGGTATTCCTTTGATATGACCGAGCAGGAAAGTGTTCTGAAAATCAGATTACGTTTTATAGGCATCTTTTACAATAAAAATGGACTCCAGATTGTGTCAATCAAAACGTCAAACCTCTAAAGGGGTGGTTCCATTTGGGAAAATCTGTAATGGATTTGGAACTTCTTTTGTTTAAATGTGTAAAGGTCCCACCCTTACCAGTGAGTACATGTAATTAAACACCTTTTGTTCAATTGCTGAATGTAACTTTCAGCACACTCACAGGAATTTCTTATTTTGTCAACTTAAATTCCTCTTTTGTCAACGTAAATTTCTCTTTTGTCAACGTAAATTTCTCTTTTGTCAAATGGAATTTCAGAGGCTTCCTGACATGGCTCACAATTCCCTTTTCCAAGGGACAGGTGGTAGTTTAAACACATAGTATAATTTCATTTCTTTTTTTTAGAACTGTTATTGAAATGGTCTCTTTGTAAATGAGGATTAATGTATTTGCCAGAGTACACTATACAGACATGTCATGAAAGAGATATTCAGTAAAAATGTAAAAGTATGTCTGGCTCAAGAAATGTTGTGAGTTGGTGGAAAATTTAAAAGTTGGCAGTGTATGGTGTTGACTTTTATGTCATCAACAGTGATATTCACCGAAGTATGCACACAAAGGAGCTGAAATGTTACACCTGTATTTTTGTGCAAGCAGCTCGCAGTGTTCGCAAAAGTCTTTTTTTGCATAGGTTATAGTTCAGTGTTCTGGCTGACTGAATTTTGGCTGAGGTGTAGTCCCATACGCCCAGCATCTAGCTAGTATTGTACTTGGTTGGGTAACTTAAACAATTAGGAGGCAAGCTGTGCCTACATTGAATTGCTGCTGTTTGTTGAGAAACACCATGCTGGGAGCTGCTGTTGATTTGCAGAGATACATGTAAGAAGAGACGGTGTGTCTGTCAGGCAGAACTGCTATACATTCAGGATGGGCACAAGGGTAAAAGCATTCCTTTTCTTGTTATAGAAAAGAGAGTTATTTTTTTTAAACTCTTACTTCCTTGTTAGAAAAGTTGCTTTCATTTGAATGTGGGATTACTGCTTTGTACTCCATTTTGAAAGTCACGTTTTGTCTCTAGAGAGTCGCAGAAGACCTTAGAAATTCTACAGATTAATAAAAAAAATGCGCTGGACATCAGAAATAATTTGTCAAGCAAAAAGTTGTGTTTGGAAAGTGTGAATTTGGAGAAAAGATTCATTAGAGAAAAATGAAGAGTGGAAGCTTTGCCTCTTTTGAAAACTCCAGTCAGCAAGTTGCTCTAGATTTGTCAGGACATGTTTTGTCCAAACTGTCTGGCTATTGCCTGTTATTTTTTCTACAAATTTCAAACATTCAAGGGGAATGGAATGGCCTCAGTCCTGTACTTTTCCTTTTGGTATGACAAAACCTGTCAAAAGGGATTTTTTTCACTTTTTAAAGCAAGCATTGACCATGAAGCATCCACCTGAGTATTGAATTTGTAGGGTAGATGGTTTTGAAATCATTTTAGCGCACTTTTTTGAATTGTTAAATTGTTATATTCTGTACTTTCACCCCAAACCCATCTCTTGCTATGCATGTACATACTTTCAGTCTGATCAGATGTGTAGAAGATAGATTACACCTTTAATGTGGTGTCTTGCGACTGATGTGACATCATCATGCAACCCAAATATCATCTGCAGGGTGGGCCCAAAATTAACACTTATTTTTTCCAAAAATAAATGAAAGAAAAGTAACAGAGGTGTTAACATGAGATAATACTTGTTAAGTTCAGTATACTCATTTGGCCTTTCCAGTGATTCTACATGTTAAAAGAGAGTATTAAAGAGCTTAAACATAGCATATTGATTGCTGTAGTGAATCCAATTAGACAGAACAAAAAAGTACTTAATTTATGGAGTTGTGATTATCTCCACTGCACATCATCAAATTTACATGAAGTCTTCAGTTTTGCAAAGATACCACCCAAAGTTTGAACCTGATACCAGAAAAACCACTATTCTGGCATGTGTTTTTGGAGAAAATCAGTGTTACATTTGGATCTAATGCTTTGGTTGTTGAAGTGGGGGTGGTCACCCTGTATTATATTTCGTTTTCTGAAGTATGTACACTTTGACCTAAATTGGACACATGTTTCCAGCAATATAGTGTCGTGTTTAGAATAACAATTATTCAAAACTAAATAATATACTTCACGATGACCCTTTTAAAGTCCTCTGAACTTTGAACAAGTACCTACCTAACAATTTGGGTGATTATTGAATATTTGTAATATGCATCACAGAAAATTACATTTTCAGTGGTGTCATCATGACATCACAGAAGTAGCCAAACATCTACTTGAATTGTGAAATGTCATGCAAAAGAATTTTTCAAATATCAAAACTGCTTTGTTCATGGCACGGGTCTAAAAATAGAGCAAATAAGAAAAATAAAATAGATTTGTAAAAAATCATAGGATGACATTATGACATCAGGTTCTTGACGAAAAGCTGCCGAGAATTATTATCCCCCTAGAAAAACACTACAAGCAAGAAGGAATGCATACAAAACCAACTGATGTTGACGGTGCCTGATTATGATCACCTAAAAACAGGTGTTTACCTAAGGCCAAAATTTAACACAGCAATGGGTGTGTGTGCATTTCTTATTCAGCCCAAATGTGCACAATCGATAATCACACACTGTCACTTTGCCAAACCTCTACAAGGTCACGCATGTTCAAAAGAGAGGTTGCCCGCTCACACATTACTCAACCAAAACGTTAAAGTGCATGCATGTAGGTTCAAAAGAGATTTGATTGTGCAACAGGAAAAATAAAATTAAAAAACAGACTCATGAAAAGGTAAAAAGAGACTGGTTTGTGACTAAAGTCTTATTTTGCAGGACAGTGTACAGTACATTATGCTATGGGAAAAAACAGGTGCCTTCTAAATTGGCCTAGAATGTGTTCACATTTAATCTGGTTCATATTAAATCGGGTCTCTTCTTGGAACAGACGATTAGGGGAGCTAATTAAGCAGTTCTTGGGTAAAAATAATTTTCTGAGGACCAGATTTTCAGAATTGTCTGGCAAATAGTGGATAAAAGAGTTGTTGGGACTGTTTTGCTAAATAAATGATCTATGGACCAGTTGTGTAACTTATTGGAATGATAGCTGTTAGAATTCATGGGACAAGAGTTTCCCCGCCCCAAATTTTACAGAGGACAACCCCCCCGGGGAACTCACCCTTGCTGAAATACTAGTTGCTGAAATATACATTTTAAAGGGTAGAGGGTTTGACATTTTGATTCCAGCCGGATCAAAGGCAAAATGACCAATTCTCCTTCGATTGAGGCTGTTGACATTTGTTTTGGAAACTACATGTAGTTATACCTCCTTTTTGTTAAACATTGCCTAGCTGTTGTAATTTCTAACTTGACTTTGATGGCGATAGACTGGGATTTTATCAACAAATTTAAAATTGAAGGAAGATAGACTGGGAGTTTATCAACAAATTTAAAATTGGAGGAAGATGAAAGATAATGTGTACGTGTAGGTCTAGGATAAGATCATGGACACATTTTCATCAGCGGCTGATAATCAAAAATGAATGGAACTGAAAATTGGCTTTTGACTCCTACAAGAAAATGGTGGCGTGCGCCAATTGCTTCAGCAAAGATATGATCTTGGGGTTTTCTTTCCAATTGCTTACCAGTCAGAAGATTACAGTGTGGACTTCAGCCCATCGATACATGAATTTTTGGATCCAAGAGGTAGTTATGGTGTAAGGTAAGTGTAACTTGTTTCCACTACTGCTGACTCTCATGCAAGTATGAGACTCGTCCATTTCAGGTAATTTTCATTCTCCCCCCCATAGGCTTTCTCGTGGGAAATCATAAGTAAAACCAGAAAACATTTTTAAAGCAACATTTGACTGTCTTGGCTCTGAAATTAAACCATTCTACAGTTTTTATAAGAAACGATTTATGTTTAAAAAAAGAGAACAGTTTGACTGTTATTGCAGTGGTGGTCCTATCAGATGTACTTTGCACAAATTTATAAAGCCTTGCCTTCCATCTCTGCTGCCGGAATTTGAATCTCACCCAGGCAGACATTTGGATTGGCTTCTCCGTTCATACCCGATTCCTCGTGTTCCATCTGGGGTATTTTACTAAACGTTTCTTCATTTTTTTTCTTCAAGTGTCATAGGGAGAAATAACTCTCTGGTAAAATGAAGAGTTAACATTACAAAGGTACAGTTAAGTGCACTATGTGCGACCCTTACGCATTGTGGGCAACCCTGCTGAATCTCACTCCAAAACTGCTAAGTAAATCTGCAAAGAAGAATGAGGCAGTGTCATTTACGAAATTGTTTTATGGTAGATGTGCTTTTCTCATTTGAGACTTGTTCTCAGGTATAGAATATTTCCGTTTGAAAACATGGGCATGTTCATGTTTGTGAAACATGGAATGGTTCTAAATACAAAACAGCCATTGCACAACCTAAAGATGTGCTTTACACACATTAAAGAGAAAGTAATGGCAAAAATATCTTCACAGTATGCATGCATGTGAGAATATTGATCCACAAATTTATGATAGTTATGGTTTGGCACATTGACTTTGACAACATGCACACTTGTGTGAAATTCAAATAGCCCCATATTATGCTATGCAAATAGTCAGTTTTTACGAAATTGAATGGAACACTTCGTGGGTCACAGAGTGAAATTCTTTCCACTGCACAAATGTACATTTGTTTTAAACACTG